TCCTCTGCTCCATAACCCATGGTCTTCCATAAAATCCTGTGGGAAACAAGATTAAAATTATCCAGTTATACACCAGACTGGATCAGTTTCATGAAACAAAGATTACACTATAACCCACTTTTCTTCTCCTCCTCCCATAAAATGTTTCTATTACATTCAGTTAAAAAAACCTAGCAATCAGGAAAAAATAATCAAAATTGCATAAAACCATAACATACTAAAAAATCATAAGGGAAATGTAGTACCCTAAAAAGATCTATATTTTCAATGTAATTACACCCTACATAATTTATGATCCACGCTGATAATTTTAGCCACTGAAGCAATTAATTTTCAGAATCCAAGCCGAAGTTCTCAGCAGATGCCCTTCACAAGTCAGGTCTGCACTACTACACAAGTAGCCCGAACAGTAATAACCCAATTATGCTATCATTCTAGAAGTTTGATGAACAGTTAACTTCAATAGTGGAATAATGAACAGTTCTGAAAATAAATTACCAGTGCAAGAGTGTTTCTTGACACAGACAGGTTACACTACCTAAATCTACACTTATGCTCAAATATACGGGAGGTGGGGTTTCGGCAAATAGAGGGTCAGAATCAAATGGATAGGTAAGACTTGTTCCCTTTTCTATTTTAAAAAGGCTCTTGATAGTGCCAGCATTAGCTAGGAAATGCTGGCATCTTATTACATGAGGCCCAAGGATATAAAGTTTCAGCTTGTGAAAAATAGAGAGGAGCCTAAACAGAAGGTTTTTAGATAGTTCATATTCCAAGAATATTTCAATGGAAATCCAGAAGTTTGATCTGCCTCAGACTTCATATCTAATAATTTCCTCCCAATCTACCATTTATGAATGACACTTCATCAAAAAACAACGATCTCGACTAGCCTATCATTAGTCAAGCAATTTCACTTAGTCTTATGTGCCAACAGATCCACACCTTCAATCACAAGTGGACACTCTTCGTATTAGAAAGTCTCAGTTTGGCAGTCTGAGGGAGAGACGCAAGACTAAACAGTGAAATGTAATAAGCGTTCATTTTCATCCAGCATAACTGCTCTGCTTGATGAATGATGCAACTGGCATGGCAAAGCAAAAGCATGTAGAAGCCCTTACATCACTAGCATGAAGTTAAACAGTCCTATTTCCAGATCTGATCACCCACTATCACTATTTTTGCACTTTCATTTTAAACAAAGACTAGACAGGCTTCGTTCATTAGACTAATGTTTGACTTTTTAAAACAAGGTACAATTTGAGAGTGTCCTATGTTAAAAAATTGACTCGTTACCTGTTAAAAGTGAACCCTGTGATTTTAAGTTTGAGGAGCTCTAAATAAGCTCAACTTTTAAAGGTTATTATTAACAGAGAGATTTTTAGTTACTTAGGGCCACAAAGTGGTGAAGTTAGGTGCTGCTGCTCCCATCTTGTTGAAATTGTGAATTGACAAATGGAGGACAAAAAGAAAAGGAGTACCTGTGGCACCTTAGAGACTAACCAATTTATTTGAGCATGAGCTTTCGAGAGCTACAGCTCACTGGAGGACAGTGAAACAGCAGAGCACATAAAGAGGAGCGGTGGTGTGCACAGAACAAACAAGGTAACAGACAAATTCTTCTCATTTACAGAAATGTAATAGAGTTGCATTGTCACTGGCAGGCAAATTTGGTCCTAAATTAGGAAAACAAATAGATTTACCTAATCACAAAGGGACCTAATTAATGGTGTGCCGAGTCAATACTTGGCACTTCTATGAGACGTATGTAGAGTAGTCTGAACATCGGAACACAATCATGTAGTAACCTGAAGTGAAATCAAGATGCCAACTTAAAAAAAAAAAAAAAAAAAGCAGTGAAAGATAATGGGTCAGGTTAAAGTATAAACAATGAAGAGTACATTTAGATTAAAATATATTAATCTAAAGTGCTAGTAGTGTTTTAAGATATTTTAACCTGACAGTACTCTGATTTAAAGGGATGCTAAGACATGGCAGCTGAGGACAATGTTAACATCCTTCTGATCTTGGTCTGTCTTTCCCATCTCTCTTTGTGGGTGTCCAGGAGAGAGATTAAAACATAGGCAGAACAGAGTTTTAATTCCCATCCTCCCACACATACCCTCATTCCTTGTCACTAAGGGTCTTAATCTGGTTGCTGTACTTGACCATCAGATCCGGGAAAACTTGAGACCCTGACAATTCTTCCTGTCACAATGTGTCCACTTCAGGCCTTTCCTCCCTATCTGCAGCAAAAGCTTTTGTCCAGGTCCTCAGTATCTAAGCTACCAATTTCTTCATCTCTGGCCTTGATCAATGCCATTGTGGCCCACTTTGCTGCTGCCAACAACAGTTCCAGACTCATCCCTTTGATCATGTTACATCCCCCTCTGCAACCTTCGCTGTATCTATCTCTCTGATATGTTACTGAGACTCCGATTCCCACTGATTGCCTATATACTTAGATTGAAAGCTCTTCAGAGCAGAGACCTTCTTTTTGCTATATATCTGTACAGTACTTAGCACAGGTCTAGGGACCTACGGTCTAGTTGGTACCACTATATAAACAAAATGGTCTTGTGGGAAGGTGAGAGAATGGAAAGAGGGAGAGACTTGGAGAGGAGTAATTTGATAGAAAGCCTTTCACCTCTAGGTCTCGGATTCAAAGCAAATCAGCCAGAAGTGATCAGAAGCTTATCACCATCTGACAGCTATCTGGTATCTTATGTGAGACATACTCATCTTAGTACAGGAAGTTATACAAAAGGCCTTCGCTGCTGCCATCCGTGCTTCTCTGTTCCCTGGCTTCAACTGCCAGTGCTATCAATCTGGCACCTTTCACTACAAGGTAAAAATCTACTTCAGTAATGAACATTTTTGGGTAGACGTGAACATTCCCAGGCTAGCTGTACTTAAGAACTAATAAGTGCCAAAAAGCATGATAGATATTAGCAATGACAATACCACCAAACGACACATTTTTAAAAAGTGATAAAAAAAAGATATACCAGAATTGGAAAAGGTTCAGAAAAGGGCAAAAAATTATTAGGGATACGGAACAGCTGCCATATGAGGAGAAATGAACAACACTAGGACTTTTCAGCTTGGAAAAGAGAGACTGGGGGGGTATGATAGAGATCTATAAAATCATGACTGGTGTGGAGAAAGTAGATAAGGAAGTGTTATTTATGCCTTCTCATAACACAAGAACTAGGGGCCACCAAATTAAAGGTTTAAAACAAACAAAAGGAAGTATTTTTTCACACAACGCACAGTCAACCTGTGGAACACCTTGCCAGAGGATGTTGTGAAGACCAAGAGTATAACAAGGTTCAAAAAAGAACTAGATAAATTCATGGAGAATAGGTCCATCAATGGCTATGAGCCAGGATGGGCAGGGATGGTGTCCCTAGCCTCTGTTTGCCAGAAACTGGGAATGAGTGACAGGGGATGGATCACTTGATGATTCCCTGTTCATTCCCTCTGTGGCACCTGGCATTGGGCACTGTCGGAAGACAGGATATGGGCTAGATGGACATTTGGTCTGACCCAGACTGGCCATCCTTATGTTATGTTAATATTGACTGCAGCCAAAGGGTGTTTTTCCTTTAGACATGAACAAAAGCAATGCAAATGCTAATTTTGATAAACAATCCATTTCACTCCCCACTGAATCTGCTAATTGTTTTGTTGTCCAACTGAAAAAGTTCTCTACAAATCTAAGACTTACCAGCCTAGTTATAACAATTCAAACAATTCCAAGCCAACAATTATGTCCGGAATAAACTTTATCTTTCCAGATTACAAGCATCCAGCTACATCACTGTCAAAAAAGCCTCGAGCCTACTTTATTTTACAGCTGTCACCATAATAAAATCTGCACAAGATCTCAGTGCAACAAATATGCCAAGAGAAACAAGCGGATTATTCCATGCCGCAATTAAAACAACAAGCGACAGCACAATACAAAATAGGGACTTACTTCGTACTACTGTGAGACCAGATGCCCGTGGAATCACCTATTTCTTACGCAGGAGAAGCCTGAACTTCTAGCACGCAGGCAGGGAGCACAGCTCGGGTTTCTGTGCTGCAGGACGGCCCTGCAGGCTGGGTCTCCGCCCCCGCATATACGAGCTAGCCAGGAAGGCCAGACTGCGCCTGCACTACAAGCCCATTGATCTAGCAGCCTGGAGAGCGCCATAGGGGGTGGGGCCGGCTGTGCCCCCGCCAGGTACCCCAGGGTGGGGAGAATCTGCAGCGTGGGGCCGGACGTGCCCCCCCCCCGAGGTACCGCAGGGTGGGGCCGGACGTGCCCCGCAGTCAACCCCGACCGAGGGCCGTGCACAAGCAGTAAGCAGGAGACGGAACACGAAGCCGACCGCGAAGGAGGCGACCGGTCTCCAGGGCAGAGGGAGCGGCCCGGGGCGGGGCAGAGGGGAGCCCCCGCGTGGGGGGAGGGGCGGGAGCGAGACTCGCCAAGGACCCCCGTTGCCTTGGTTACCGGCACCCCCCCCCCTTACCTTCCACGACGCCGCAGAGGAAGCGCCGGGCCCCGGCCACCGTCTCGGTCTCCGTGTCCGTCTCCTCCCCGCTCAGGCTCGGGCCCGGGCCCGCGGAGGCCCCCGCCGCTTCCAGCGGCGCCACCGGCAGCCCGGCCGGGTTGGGGCTGCCCTGGGGCTCCCGCTCCTCCAGCGCCGCCTGCCCCTCCTTCTGCACCATGCCGCCGCCCGCCAGGGACCCGCGCCCGCGCCGGGCCTGGCCCAGCCCTTTGTCTCCGGCCGCCCCGGGCGCCCCGGCCGCCGCTTCCTGTTTATGGGGCCCTGCGCCTGCGCGGGGAACCGGCCCCAACCGGTCCGCGCCGCCCCGCCCGCTCGGGAAGAAAAGGCGCCGCCGCCCCGGGGATCTCGCCTCCGGTCCGACAGCAGCCTGGCGCCCCCGAGCCGGCACCGCGGGACCCGCAGGGCTTCCGAGGGGACAACGGACTGAGGAGACGGTGTTACCTCAGGGGGAACACAGGGATTCGGCCACCTAGCGCGCATGCGTACGGCGTGAGGACCGGAGAGGGGGGGCGCCACTACGCATGCCCATCAGGTCAGAGGGGGAGGGGGGAAAGGAAGCGGTGGCTCACTACGCGTGCGCAGAGGCGATAGCGCGCTAGTGCGCATCTCTCGGAGGCCACAGGGGGAGGGGAGAGGCGGCAGAGTGTTAATGCGCAAGCGTCGGGAGGGAAAGGGCGCCTGCGCAGTGAACTCGCAGCGGTCGGTGTGTTTACTCTGCCGACGCGCACGCGCTGCCCGCCTGGGGTAGCCCATGGCGGCTTCGGGAGAGGCCCGCCGCCGGACGGAGGGGGTATCTCAGTGCGCATGTGCAGGGGGAGGAAAGGCACCGCCTCCCCCAAGGCTTGACCCACTTTCCGTAGCCGCCTGGCCCCGCCCCCCCGTGGCCTGACAGCCTGGCGCTGCGCGTGGTCTGCCGCCCTGCCAAGCTAAGCAGGGCCGGGCTGGGTCAGCCCTGGGATGGGAGACCGCGGCCTGGCACCCTCCTAACCCACGGCCCTCCTCGCTTTACCCCGCATGGCAGTTTACGCAGGGGGAGAAGAGCCCAGAGCAAAGGCTGCGGCCATGCTGATCAGCGGGAACAGCCTGCACAGGGACCCCACCCAGCAAGATCCGCCTCCAGCAGAAGTTACGGGCCTCGCGTGCGGCGGGAAGCGGGTTCTGGCCCCTGAAGAGGCTAGGATGGGAAACCCTCCGGCTACGTCTACACGGGGCGCCTTACAGTATGCAGCGGAGCGGCCCTTTGTCCGTCGGGGAGAGCACGCCTGGCGACAAATAAAACCACAGACGCCAGCACCGTTTGTTGGTCCGGGGTGGGTTTTTTCCATGCCTCCCCCGACCGACAAAAGTTTTACCGGCCAAGGTGCAGCGTAGAGGTAGCCGAAGAGCGAGAGAGACTAGCGGAGAAGTTACACACAGACCGGTGATGTTTGCATGGCAAGCAATGAGAGTCTCTGAGAAGGGGGAGCCCTGTAAGAACACGAAGGCACTGTATGAATGACTCCTGTTGCCCCGTGCGCTGTCGCTGGGATTGAAAGCGCAGCATCCGTGGATTGAGAGGAATGTAAATGAGAACTAACAAGGGCCTTGGACATTAGGAGCCAGATTCTGCTCTGAGTGTATATGCAAAGTAAATGTGACAAAGGCAGGAGTTATTCCGAACTTTCACTGCTGTAATTGAACTGTAGGATTGGCACATTTTGCTTCCCTCTTTAGGAATGAGAAATACAAAGTCCTAAGGGACTCTAGTCTCTTGGGGAGAAAGTGAGGTCACAGAGAAAATGAGTGACACAACTCAATTTTGGTCCCCCAAGCCTGGTCTACACTACAGAAATTTACCATTCAAACCTCCTAGAACCCTGCTCCGTGGTGGATTCTTCATCACGGACCATTTTAAAATCAAGATTGGATGTTTTTCTACAAGATCTGCTCTAGAAATTATTTTGGGGCAGTTCTCTGGCCTGTGCTATACAGGAGGTCAGACTAGATGATCACCGTTGTCCCTTCTCGCCTTGGAATCGATGAATCTTGGAAGAACGCTTATTGACAGAAAAGTGCTTGAGCTGCTTTTACAGTCAGGGATAGGCTTGATTTACGCAAGTCTGAGGACCAGTTCACTCTGAATGGTTTCCGAGCCACTGCAGACATGGACCAATTAAATGGTTCAGCTAGTCCTCCTGCTACTGTCCCACAGTGCGTTGTTGGTCCTTCACAGTCTCCCAGAATCCACTGCTTCTCTTATCTGTCGGATAGGTATGCAGCCCGAAGCCATTGCCACTGAAACAGTTTAGAATGGCATCTTGTGCATTCAGGGCAATCCTGCACTGGTTCTTCAACCAGATCAGCATGCCTGGTTGTTGAATTCATTGAACTGTGCTTAAGGCAGTCCTGTCCAGTTACAAGTAGTTCAGCTCTCCTATAGATAGTGCACCAGCAAAGAGAGAATTAAGTCCAAGCCCGAGGAAGCAGCAAAGATCCACTCATCTAAGAGAGAACATCCCCAGTTACTTTTAAAATACTCTTTGAACAAGCTGCTCTTAAAAGAAGTTGCCAGCTCCTCTCTGTGCATGGCTTAAAACACAACATTGGGTTCACGGACTATCCCATAGGGCAGATACATTGTCCTGAGCCCCTAGGTACTCCTTAATTTGGGGTGTAAGAGATCATGAACAGACAACTTTGTAAAGGAATATTAGTTATTTGTATGACAGCACCTGGGGCCCCATTGTGTACACACACCGAGCAAGAGAATCACTATAATGAAGAGCTCACGGTCTAAATAGACAGGACAGGCAAAGAGTGGGAGGGGAAACTGAAGCACAGCCGGGGAGTGACTTCCCCAAGTTACAGTTGTCTATATTTTACCTATACTTTATGAATTTGTGACATGGAGGCCATAGGTCAAATCCACTGTACTTCTAGGGGAAATTAATTTTCCTGAAGCAGCTGTAAACACCCAGGCTAGCCTGAAACGTTCTCAAGCTATGGTCTGCAGAATAAAATATGCAGAATAAAAGCAACGGGATTAGGGAGTCTCCTCTCCTGAGAAGATTGCTGTCATGAAATGCAAGAGTCTGACAACTCAGAATCCAATGCCAACTCTCCATCAAGTGTGTCCAGATTACACCGATAACTTGTCTTTAGACAGTTGATTCATGCCAGCCAGGCCGGGATGACCTCTCCACCACTAGTAGCTAGCAGCTGGGGTCCTTGGAGGATCTATTTTTGGACCATTGCCATTTGTCTTGTAGGCTGATGGCTTTGGTGCTTATCATTTTTCTGCAGCCAGCAGTCCATCTTGTTTGCTGGTGGTGACTCCCCATTAGATAATAATTCACCCTACTGCCCCACCCCCACTTGCCTGGCACACCAGTTTTCACTCGTACCAGGAGCCCTTTGAAATGGCACATCAAGTGCCTACCTTCACTTATGGCACTGGGTCCGATACACCATATGTAGGGGCAGTGCAGGCCAGGGCATTAATCGAGTACATTGCTTGGTATAAATCCCCGGGGGTGGTTTGTGGGGACACTCCCCATTGACAGCATTTGATGCAAGTGATTCAGAAATGAACCTAGCCATCAAGCTTCCTTCAGGGTGGAGAACCCTTCATTAGAGGGGCAGAAAGGTCCAGTGGTTAGTGTGTGCGTGAGTGAGAAGGCAGGACATATAACAAGAGAGACTCAGACACAGAGGCAGCAAGAAAACCAAACAGTAGCTTGCAAGCATGCCGTGATGCCCGGGAGAAGCCTAGAAAGAGGTTCTGGGTTGGGCGTGCTGGCTGAAAAGAAGCTGGGGCCTTTAAGCTAAGCAGCTATTCCTTTCGCCTTCAGTTCTGTTTGGGGAAGCAGGTCTTTGTACATTTCTTGTAACTAAACAAGACTGCACCAAAGAAAATACCAGCCTTCAACTTGGAGCAGCCGCTTGGTTCGAAAGGGACACAACCACCACCAGTATAAGTGAAAGGCAGATCACACCAGCTCCTCAGCAGACATGCTCACGTTTCCATTTGTCATAGATATAGGTAACCTTGCTGACGTAAAATAAGGACACCCCACTCCTCTCTCAGAGACCGAAAGCTCAAATCAGGCCCCAAATCCTGGGTCGTTTGAGGGTCTGGATGGGTCATTTCCATGCAGCACGTGCTTCCAGACAGGAATGCCACCAAAACTACAAAGTCTCTTCTGGAAGCTCTGACCAAGCCGGAACCAGGACGTGCCAGGACTCAGACAAGAAAGCCCACCCTCACCTGATTTCCAGCCAAAGAGGTTGGGAGAGTAGCCAAAAATCTGGGTGTTTTGGGGGTTCCAGCCCATTTTGTCCATCCATTTATTTTTCTTTGATGTTTGTAGAAGATGGTGCAGGCCCCTTGTCCATGCTGGTCTGTGCTAACACATGGAAGGGAAGAGTAATCATGTGACTGCCAGGGCGTGTGCCCCCCAAGGAGAGGTTGTCAGAGCGGGATAAGGGTCTTTGTATTTCAGGCTTCTGTCACTTCCTTGTGGCAGTTAAGGGAACTAAGGGGTCCTGGAGTCTCTGACATGGGTAGTGGCTCAAACCTGCCCTTTCCTTTTCTCCTTTGACAGTTATAATTACAATGCCCTGTTTCTGGACACAGAGATCTATGTACAGACACAGAGAGAGACCTACGCACAGAGAGACCTCCGGACGGACATGCACCTGTAGACAAGTGCAGGTTCACTGTAGCCACAGGTTCATCAATACCCTTGTGGGGAGAACTGAAAACGGAGTAACTGCACTGCCGCATTGTTTCCTGGCTCCCATGCATTCTAGGCAGCTGTAATTCCTACCCTTGGGGCTGGAAAACGCCTTCTGCTGATCAATAGCATGCTCAGGCTTTGGTTGCAGCCCCCTGTGCAGCAATTTCAAGCTGACCTCCAAGCCATGCAGTAGTTTGATTGTCACCCCCCACTGCTGGCAGAATGGAAGCTGACATACAACTGTGAACCCGTGTTAACCTCACTCTCTCCTGCACGCCTACAAGCCGCAGCTGGGGAATTTTTTCTCAGGCACAGCGTAGTGGCACGGGACACATACAGCAACATCAGTTCTTTCTCAGCAGGCAACTCTGTGCTGACGTGGATGCACCCTGGCATCATTAATTATACAGTAATGCTACTGAGGTTTAATTGTATTTAAACTCACCAGCTCCACAGGAACTTGGCTGGCCAGCCACCTTCCCCCTTCATCATCTAGGAAGCAGACTCTCAGCCCTCTCCAGAGACCCTCTCAAACGGGTCTTTTGCGGCATGCAGGGCTTAATTTGTGCCAGGACTTGCCAGGGCTGAGCCCCGGCACCTCTGCGGTTGGCGCATCAGTTATGAAACTAAAAAAACGGCTTGAGCTCCAGCACATCTTTCATTATAAATTAGGCACTGGCGCCATGGCCAGAAGTCAGACCAAGGGGGCAAACGGGGAACAATTTTCAGAGTGCTGGAGCCCTCAGAGAGCACCTTGCTAGCCACCCCAGGTCAAGCACTCTTGCTGACCACAGCTGTGGCAGCATGGCCTGGGGAGAGAGCAGCCTTCTTCACCCTCTTATTTCATGCAGAGAACCAGCTGCCGGTTTGATTGCTGCTGATCTCCGCTCATGCAATAGTGTCAGCTTCAGGAATTATTATTAGTGGTGGGGTAGCATCCAGAGGTCCCAGCTGAGATCAGGACCCCATTGTGGCAGATGCTGTGCAGATGCAGAGACAGTCCCTGTCCCAGACTTCTCCCAGCCTAGCCAGCATGGACAATGCGTGGGAGGGGAAACAGAAGAAATGATTTGCCCAGAAGCTCAGTGGCAGTGCAAGGACTAGCAGCTCCTGACTTCCAGGCCGATGCCTGTTCCATTAGACCCCATTGCTTCTCATTCTCAGTCGGGTGTTACTCTCTTTGTAAAGCTCCATGCGCATCTTCGCCGTGTAATTCTTTCTTATTTCTCTAGAGGTAGGTTGTCAAGCGGCTCAGTACTGCCCTGGGTCAGGGCGGCTGCTCAGCTGGTGAGCGGGGGCCTGCAAGTAGCCGGGGAAAGTCCGCATGGGGGAGAGAAAAAAATCGTCTCACAGAGCAGAAAAGGCCCCAGCTGGGGCTCCAGGCCCTGCCTACCCAAACTCACCTCCCTTCTCCCTTCCTGGCCTTTCTCAGAGCCCTTCTCCCAACACCTGTGTCAGGGCAGGCTGCTCTGAGCGTAACTCCTTGTCCACCGGGGTCAGGCCGCAGCGTGCTACAGAAGGGGAGATAGATGGGCCGTTAAGATGAATGCAGCGCTTTGCGGTCTGCCATCTCCTGTGGCAGGGCACAGGGCATCTCCTGGGAGGACCCGAGGAGCTAAGAGGGCCCTGTGGTTTTGGGGTGCTGAGGCGGTGTTTTAGCACCCCTCTGCCACAAGAGGGCACTCTGAGCCAGCCCATGGCAGGCCCGGCTCTAGGTTCCATCAGCCAAGCCGGGCAGGGTGTGAAGGGCCTGGCCTGGCCCCGTTCACAGCCAGACCACCCCAACAGAGGTGGATGGAGCTGCCCAGGGAGCGAGAGCTGGGGCCCCCCCAAACCAGCCTTGACAGGCTGCTCCCAGCACCCCATGTGCCAGGACTCCACGGCCCCAGCCACACTCACAGGGCAGTCACCCCCTCCGTCCCTGCGCCCACAGCCCAGCTGGAGCTCAAGGGGGCAGGGGAGAGAGGAGTGGAAAGCCCCAACCCACCCCCATCTAACCCACCTCCATGCTGCTGGGACCGCTCCCCAGTCCCCTGGCCTGTGCTCCCCAGGTGCTGCCAACCCCTCTTCTCCCCCCCAGATGTGCATCCTGCATGCTACCTTCCCCCTCACACCAGCTCCCGGCTAGACCTGACCCGTCTGCCCCCTCCTGATGTCTGCGCCTTTGGAAAAACCAGAGACCAGATCCCTCTCCCCCCCGCCAAAAAAAATCCGTCCTCGTGGGGGGTGGTCACAGTCCCAGGATGTGAGTGGGGGGTCAGGGTGCTGAGAGGCTGCCCTCGCCCTGCTGACAGGACTAGCAAGGCCCAGCCCTCAGCCCAGCCCTCAGCCAGCGATCTGATGAGCAGGAACGCTTGTTTGCCCGTATGCGTCTGCACAGGTGCTGGGACTAGGGGTGTGGAGGGCTGCAGCACCCCCTGACTTGAAGTGATTTCCTTTATATCCAGGGTTTAGAGCTTGCTTCAATAACTCTCAGCACCCCCACTATGAAAATTGTTCCAGCCCCCCAGTGCACCTGGGACATGAGGAACATGGGCCAGAGACGGGGACGGGCCCTCCTGGGTCATGGACCCCAGCCCCTGCTGTTGCAGCAACCCCATCGGATCATCCCCTTCCTAGACTTCCCAAGCTCCGTCTAAAGCTAGTCAGGGTGTTTGCCCCACTGCTCCAGACCCTCACCCCTCCAGGGGTTAGAAACGTGCTGCTCCTCTCCAGCCTGAATTGCTCGCAACCAGTTTATCCCCGTTGGTTGTTGGGCCAACACTGCCCGTTAGCGTCACCAGCTGCTCCCCGCTGACGTATTTAGAATGCACAAGCGGGGCCCGCTCGGCCGTTCGGAACAGGCCAAACTCTGCTCTGGCCCAGCTGCACAGGGCGCTGGCCATGGCAGTCCCTGCGCTGTTGCCATCCCTGCGGGGGCTCAGCTCACGCTCACATCGCTGCCGCGGTGCAAGGATGAGCCCGTCCAAGCCGCCAGCCACGTGCATGGCTGGTTAGCTCCTCCTGCCGTGCCAGATGCTGTTTTCAGCACTCGAGCTGAACGGGTGGGGGCACGTGGCCTTGAGCTGGGCATGACGACGCCACCTGGCTGCAGAGATGTGCCCTTGGCCGCCGCGTGTAAGCGTGGCACTGCATGGCCCGGCTCTGCACCTGGGCCAGGTAGAGTTCAGCTTTCTGGAACCTGGGGGCCTAGAACTGTACACATGGAACAGCTGCGATCTTAGAACCAGCATCTCCGCCAGTCTGCCCTCCTGCATATCACAGGCCAGAGCCCCTCACCTGGGCTTTCCAGCGGATGAGACCCAGCTTAGAGCAGGAATTCTTGGTTGTAACCCGTCCTGCCTGAGCCAGGATCTTCCAGCGGGTGTGCGGTAAGCGCTGGTGTCGGGCGGGTGCCCCCAGGCGTTGAACCTCCCGCCAGCTCAAAACCTGACACTAAGGCCACCCTCTCCCCTTCCGAAACCTTACCGTGCAGAGTAAACGAAAGAGCTTAAGAAGAGGGCAGGGGGTCAAAGAGGGCCCAGGACTGTGGGGTTGCTGCCCTCCCCCCCCCAGGCCCAGTCCTGCCTCTCCCTGAGCTCTGGGCCCCCTGCAAGCAGTGTCCCCCACCCCCCCAGAGGCCATCCCTCCTTCCCAGTGCTCGGCCTGGCGGGTCGCTTCAGGCCCAGCACCATGATGCCAGTGGTGGCGACGGTCACCTGGGGTGGGCAAGTCCTTCCCCGCTCTAATGACGGCAGCTCCCAGCGCTGTGCCTCCATCCGCCACCACTCAGGCACATTTGGCCTGGCCACCCTTCCCCCATTTTGGGGGGCCCTGGGTAAATTGTCCCTTTGGTCCTCCCCCAGACCGCCCCGTGGCCACCCCCAGAAGTGGATCAGGGACCTTCAGGAGGGAACGCACGAGCTGCTGCAGGTGGCATGGCAGCACCAAGGCGCCGGGGCCGGGGCTGGGGCTGGGACGGACTCGCCACTGCTGTGTAGGTTACACTGGCTCCCTGTGTGCGGGTGAGTCTAGGGCCTTTCTAATGCCCCCAGCCGGGCAGCACCGTGGGCACCTGCAGCATCTCCCCCGTGAAACCCCTGCACGTGCCCGCGCGTGACCGACACTGCCAGCAATGCACATGGGCACCCACCCTGCAGCGCCCCGGCAGCCCCGGTGCTGGAGAGCGGTCTTTGAAGGCAGGAGCACTAGCCAGGGGTGATGTGCTGAGCCCTCACCCCCAGAGCAGGCCCCCCCCAACCAGCCCCTGCCCCGCCAGGCTCCAGCCAGGACCTCCCCCCTCCAGCTAGCACCCTGTGGCTGGGCCCCTTGCCCCCACCTGCCACCCCACAGATGCCCAGACACAGCAGGGTGGTGCATAGCGACTGTGGTTGGATTTTATTGTATTTTTGATCATTGTTATTATACAAAATATACAGAGTTGAAAATGCAAAGCGGCTAGTGGGGCCCAGTGCCTGGTGAGGGGCACACGCCATGCGGCCAGGGGCGGGGCAGGGCACTGGTGCTGAATGCTGTTGCCGGTGCAGGAGAGGAGCAAGAGGACAGCCAAAACGACAATGCTCCCCCCCAAACCCAGAGTGACCCCAGCCCCACCAGGTGGAAGGGGGCGGGGCTGTCTGGATGAGAGTGAGGCTCAGCCCCACCCACAAAGGGGCCCTCGCTCAGCCTAGAGGTGTGGGAACAAGTGGGGGGCAGTGAGGAACAAACCACGCCAGGGGTGCCGGGGCTCTGGGGTGGAGCTGCCAGCGAGGGGTGGGGGTGAGAGCTGGGCCCTGGGGCAGGGCCAGGTGGATGGAACGAAGGAAGGAGCATTAAAAACCTGTCCTGACAGCGAGATCTCTGGGGCGGGAGGATGAGGGAGCATTGCAGGCCATCGTCCGGGAGCCGTGCCCCGCTGGGGAATGGCTCATGGGCACGGGAGGGAGCCCCGGCTCCCCAGCCTGCAGAAAGCCCTGGAGGGGGCACAGGGGGAACAGTCCTGCCCCGGGACCAGAGCATGCGGCGTTTGAGGGCCAGCGACCTGTGGTGGGGCAGGGGCTGGCGCCAGCCTCCTGCTTTGTCCCCATCTAGGGACAGGGCCCCATGCAAAGGGCAGCTCCAGCTCCAGCTCGGATCGTTTCCTGGGGATTCAGATCCAGGCCCTTTGCTAATCAGCACCCCACAAGCCCCCCTGCCTCCCCGCTTGGCCGCTGCTGAGTTGGCACCAGCCCAGCCCTCGGCTGCCACTCCCTGACAAAGAGGCTGCAGCTTGGGCAGCCGGGCGCTGGGTGGGTTTCTGCCCCAGTGCACCACCTGACCTCTAGCGGCACAGGGCTCGGTGCCCCCCTTCCCATACCCAGCAGAGAGCAGGACAGGCGGTTCCCACCCACCTGGCAGTGCCGAGAGCCACGCAGGCTTGGCAGGGAATAATCAACCCTATTAGCCCACAAAGCCAGTGGGGATGGCTGGCCAGAGATGTCTGCTGCCCTGGGCTCAGTCAGACCTGTCTTTCCCAGCTGATGGGCCCTGGTCATGGAGCTGCTTCCCTGGGGAAATTCCCCAGGCTGCCTCTGGCTCTGCCTTGTTGTGCACACCCTCAGCCCTGACAGCAGCGCTCATCCCCCTTCTCCCACCACTGCCAAGGCCTGCCAGGCTAGGAGCACGTTGAACCCGCCTCCCTGCCCAGATGAACAGCTCCACTCAGCTATCAGGAACAGGGAGCAGGCCCCACCTCGCAGGACCCGGCCTGAGGGACAGGGGGGCAGATCCGGGGAAGTGCCTTGGTGCAGCATGCAGTTGACTTGTGGAACTTGCTGCTGCAGGAGATTGTAATGGCAGCTGGCTCAGCACAGCTCCAACAAGGCCATCACTGTGAACAGGAACCGCGTCTGCAGAGAGAATTACAGGGGCCGTGGCGTCTCAGACCCAGGGCTGGCGCTAATCTGCAGCCGGGGTCCGGAGGAACCTGCCCATGTGCAGGGCAGGAGATGGGGCCACATCTTCTTTTGAAGCCCCAGGCACTGGCCACTGCTGGTGATAAAATACCCACGGGGACGGCTGCGCTGCCCCTCGGGGGGCGCTAGGGAGTGACACCCGCCTGTCATCAGAGGGACCCCAGGGACCAGTCTGCCAGCCTGTCCCCGGCGGCACTGGCTGGGCTGTGATGCCTAGGAATGGCATGCGCTGGCCGCGCACAAGCCCCGTGGCTCTCTGCCTCCCAGCCTG